AGATAACATCCTGACACTCTCAAAGGAAAAGAAGTCACCTCCTCCCGGGAAGGGCCTTCTCATCCTATCTTACTCCGTTACCCACCTAAACACTCTCTTCGAGCTCAGGATCCGGTTCGCTCCCAGGCAAAGGCACGGGGAGGAGCGACTGATGCCGCGCGTCCCTCCTTCACGCTGATTCGGGGCGGAACCGGATGTCTGAAGCGCGCCCTCGGCGGGGAGGGAAGAGCACGCGTCGCGCGCAACCTTCGCAAGTGGCCAGATGTGGGCGGGGTCGCGATTACCACGAGAGGCCGCTAGAGCCAGAGCGAGAGGATGTCAGAGTAATTTTAAAGTTAACGGGGTAACAGCAGGTTTTAAGCTTGACCGGAAGTTCTGGTTCTCCTCCGCGCTGCTTGTGTATCTATGTATGAATTCCTCCCTCCAGTGTTTTCCAGAGACAAGAATTTCACTATCTCAGCTGCAAGGCAATCAGGAGCCTCCGAGCTATGACGTCCTTTGAGAACGGTTTCTGTGATTCCCTTCTCCCAAGAGACATTTAAAAAAAAAAAACCACAAAAACAACAACCCTGCACAAACCTCACTTCCAGTTCCAATGAGGATTTTTCACATCTGGGCAGACAAAATGGAATTATTCTTGAAACCATCATTCTAATCTATTTAAAGACCTCTTATCTTTGTAGCGCTCTGAAATGATCATATCCTGTAGCCCTACCCATTCTGTTTATTATCCAAATGCCTGAGAAGAAGAAAAAAAAGCCTCAAAAATGAATATTTTATAAATACAAAAACAGAGATTACAGCATTTTAGAAGTGAAACTCATACAATATTGCAATTTTATAAATCCAATTATACTCAAGAGTTATTCCAGAATAAACCACAGCAGTCCAGAAACAAATTTATTTTAAAAGAAATGGTAATAGTTTTCAGGAAAAATAATAACTATTACTATTACTTGCTGTTATTTTTGTAGCCACCTACTTCAAAACATTCTTCCATAGTTTAAGGAGCATAATTATTTTTAAAGGTATAATATTCCCTAAAACAGATCAGATTATGAGTGACTTTAATTTTATGGCATGGCTGAGTTTACAGGTGTACCAGAGGAGTTGTGAGGGAAACAGGATAGAGTGACTCACCCACCTAGAAGTAACGTCTTTGACTCAGGGGACTACCATAAAAGCCTGTTCATTGAATTGGACCCATCAAGGAGAGAGAAAGTTAACTAAGTTCTACTAGGCAAAGAAAGACATTGCAGAACCATACTCTGTGTATTGCTCTTAGTCTATTTCACTGAAGCTGAAGTGAAACAAGTATTGAGGACTCCAACAAGTGTTGGAGTGGTGAGGGTACAACAGGGTGAGGGAGAAACGTGCTGTTTGAGGTGTAGTTTTGTGAAGCATCTTTGTAGGGGTGGGTATGGATTATTAGGAATACTTCCACTCTCCAACCCAAATCCTTCAGCATTCACCTTCGGAAAAATAAGTAAAAGCTATAGGGAGAATGAGATTTGCCTCCCTTTCACTTCTTTCTCGATATGTCTCTTTCCTATTCACTGCCATCCATTAGATTTTTGTAGCTCTCCCACAATTTTACTGAACACCAATTCAAGGGCTCATCTTCATATCCAACTGTTACTGACTCTTTTAACTTCTCTGATTGTGAGGATAAAAAGGAGAACCAGGTGAACTCTCTGCCTGCAGTTCAGAAGGCAACAGGCTGCCAGCTGTCTGTGAGTACTGACAATTACTAATTGCTAGTAGTTGCTGGTTCAGAATATGACCTTCGGAGAGTGCCAAATCCAAAATCATATTTTAACTAAAGAAAGCTGAGCACTGGACATGGCATAACACCTTAAGAGGAAGTAGCATTATATGGCTTTATCAGGTTATATCCAAAATGCTCAAGACCTGCCTCCTTGCTGCCTGCTCCTTCAAGTTTCCCCTGCTGCTTACTAAGGGACTTAGTTGACCATGGGACTTAGTTGACTTCTGTGGAACTATTTGGTGCTCAACCTACTAACTGTTTTAAATTCTCTTTCACCATTTCTGTTTCCAAACTCTCCTGGCTAGCAGATTGTAGAAATGGCATAATTATGAGGAAAATAAATCCAATTTTTTCTTTACCTCTAAATAAACAGACCTTTCTGTATATCAACATTTACACACTAATATATACACTAACAAAGTTTCTCACATTTAACTGCCATGCTTTCTGTGTGCACTAGTCCAAGACATAGACAAGAACACCCACTTAACTGTGGCTCAAAAATGTCCCATTAGCCACTTTTAGAGGACGTCTCAAGATACAACCTTTGTCTCACTGGCAGTCAATTATAGAGGTCACCTAAAATTGTATTTAGCTGTTCCAGTTTTAAAAATTTTTTGTCTTCTGCATTGTAAAGGCAGCTATTCTATTTAATTGTACTTGCCTTAAAATAACATTTTCTCCCTTTCCTCACCACTTTCCTTGCAACTCCTCTTTGCTTATATCACAGACATTCATTTATCACTTCATACACCACCTTTTGTTCTGTAAAATTCTCACCTCTAGCCAATCATTTAAAGTTTTCTCCTTTCTCTGAACCCATGATTTTCTTGCTTTACTAGACACATTTCCTAATTAACTTATTTCTATTTCATTTTAATTTACTGTTTCTGATATATTCAACTTTCAATTATAAATAAAAATATACTGGTATATACAGAAGCAGACCCATTTCCCTTTATGTCAACATTCATTCCTAGCAACAAACTACATAGTATCCACTCTGTTCTACCAAATTAGCTTATCTAGGTATTTCTTTATTGACGAATACAGTTCACTTACTTTGCGCTTTTGCATTCTGTCTGTAAGAGAAAAGGCTGCCTAGAAAATGGCCAACATCTGTGCTGCTCTTGTCCTTTTTAAACCCTCTCCCAAGCCAGCACTGCAATTTTTTAAAGTGGTGCTGAGAAACAGCTGGTGTTATTTGGGGTGGGGGGGAGGAAGCAAAGAAGCCTGAAAGTGATAAATTTTCTCTAACAGTATTTGAAAAGAGTAACGGGACAACAGCAGCAATAGTAGTAAAACTCATGAGGTGTAGGTATAGCAATGAGAAGAATGGTGTAGTAACTAATAGCTTGTGAGTGCTTTTGTGTTGAGCCCACCAAATCGGGTATAATTAAAAGAATCTTTGCTTTACCTCATACATTTCCTATTGCCACTTCATTTTAGTTTAATGTTACTGCTTTTATATTTTTATATTATATATTATTATTATTATTATTTAACTTTTAATTACAAACAGAAGCACTTTCTTATACACAGTTTTCCAGTATTTGAGGGGCTTTCACAGAGAAGAGGGAACTGATGTATTCTCCAAAGCACAAGGGGTAGGATAAGAAGTAATGGGTGGAAGCTTCTTAAAGAGAGATCCAACCTAGGAGACATTTTCTGACAGAACAATTTATCTATGGAATAGCTTGCCTCCCAGAGTTGTAGAAGCTCCATCGCTGGAGGTTTTCAGATATAGACTGCATAACTATATGACTGGGATGTTATGAGGTCTGCTTTGATCAGGGGGTTGGGCCTCCCTTGTAGCCCTATAATTCTGTATTCTATTTTCCCTTATTTCAATGTTCATTCCCTGTAACAAACTACATACTATCCGCTCTCTTTTATCTGATTAACTTATCTAGGTATTTCTTTAGTAAACATTTTATTGATGAATACAAGTTAATGTACTTGATAATTTTTTATTATTTCTGTGTAAATTGAAACTCTTCATTTTCCTGTCAAATACAACTACCTTGATTTTTAATATAATGATTTTCAGATCCATATTCTTGTTCCCTCATGCAACCTATCTAAAATTAACTATCAATATAATCAACACTATGACATCATTGTCTGCATATTCACTCGATAACCTTATTTATATTTTAGTGGTTTCATTTACACTATCCTTATGATTTATATTGACTGTTTTCTAATATGATTTGATTGCTTATTTGTACCCTATGACTATCATTATGTTGTACCTTATGATTCTTGATGAGCGTATCTTTTCTTTTATGTACACTGAGAGCATATGCACCAAGACAAATTCCTTGTGTGTCCAATCACACTTGGCTAATAAAAAAATTCTATTCTATTCTGTTCTGTTCTGTTTTATTATTGCCTATTGCTTCTTCATTGTTCTTCAATTGTTTCACAACATTTACGGTGTGTGTGTGTGTGTGTTTTTCTCAGACATTAATATTTATAGTATTTCATCTCTTCGTATGGAAAACATTTTCCCTTCCTGAGAATTGCCCAGCAAAATTAATAGAGCAATTCAAGATATCCTGACGAGTTCAGAGACTGGACTTAAGAATTTAAGCTTTTAACTTTTAAAACATCGACCATTTGTCTCCTGTTTTGCACATGGGGTGTCACCTCAATGTTTTAGGGCAACAGTTTAAGAATAGTCTTAATAACATATTGAGACATGATGCGAGGCTCCTTTGAATTTCTATTTGCCAGATCGTTATTAAAATAACCCTTGAATTACAGAAAAGTTCAATCTTCATTGACCTTGCGCCAATGCTTTCCTTTCTAGCCAAATATGGAATTCAGAATTTAGTGGCAAAACCGCCTTGCTTTCCATTGATTCGATTGCATTTTAAATGTTGAATATCTAAAACAGAGGTCTTCAAAGTTCGCAACTTGAAGATTGTGGACTACAGCTCCCAGAATTCTGGGAGTTGAAGTCCACAAGTCTTCAAGTTGCCAGGTTTGAGGACTCCTGATCTAAAATGATGAAACACAACATAAAAGCCGAGTGTTTTGCTTTAGTGAACACACGGGTTGCGCGTTCGGAATTTGACTAAAACCCAGATCCCTTACACCGCATACAACATTCCACTGGAAGAAGATTAAAAAGATCTACTGAAAACGGAAGTTCTGTCTACCAACTATTAAGGTCTATCTCTATGGTGAGTACCGTGGTGCCACGTCTTGGCGCAAGCGCATTGAAGTTAATGCTGACGGTTGTTGACGGGGACCTAGTGGGGTGTCGCGGCCTAAGGATCTCTGGGAGAGTGGCCACGGTGACAAGATGAACTTCTTACGGGGCGTCATGGGCGGCCAGAGCACTGGACCTCAGCCGTCCGGTGCTGATACGGTAAGTTGGAGAGTCTGGCGAAAAAAGTCCGGTTTAGGACCGTTTCTCTGCGTGGTGAGTCGTAGGACCCTCTTCCGAGCAAAAGCCCTGCTTTACAGACCCGTGGCGTTTTCGCTGCTTTTGCAGAGCTTTTGCAGAAGCTTGAGGGTGGGGATATCTTCGAAGTAACCCATTTGTGTCGTACCTGTTTCTTTATAATAATATGTAAAAGAGGCTGTGTCCATGTAGACAAAATATATCACAATGAAGCACTGCCTCGGGGTGATAAAGCCTGGTAAATACTGTACAGTAAGTATATCTTTGAAAACAATGAGCGGAGGAGCTGAATTTCAGCCATTTCCACCTATTTTCCTTAATTTGCCACCTTAGCTTCTGTAAGCTGAGGATCAATGCTGCAGTCGCCCCTTATAAAACATAAATTACATTTCAGTGCATTACAGTAATGGAGTTGGAAGGGACCCTGGAGATCATCTAGTCCAACCCCCTGCTTACGCAGGAGACCTGTGCTACGGATTCGGACCGGCGAACTGCCGACCTTTCTGATCGACAAGCTCAGTGTCTTAGCCTGCTATGTCTTTTTTTTTTTTTTAATCTAAGGTCATTTCAGCAATCAGCCCAAGAAAAGAGGACTTCTGTTATAGTTGCTCCTAAGAAATTATTTTATTTCCATTTGTGTCCCCATGTTGTTAAATTATGAATATAAAATCATTTATTTACTGAGCTTGTTAAAAACATATTGTAGTACATTATACATTTTTGCGCAAACGTTTTTGAATTTATAGATATTGGCAATAGCACATAAAACGTGAAAAAATAATTTGAAACGTATTCAAACATGTTATATCTTTTTGTCCAGCTAAATGATAGCATCTAGCCAAATTTGCCTGATCTAAAAAGAAATCTCAGCAAAGTCAACGTTAGTTAGACCTGATGCAGGACTACTAAGATATATTAGACTATACTAAGATGGAGAAATAAAAATAAGATAATTTTTTTTTAAAAAAATATCCTGGAATAAGGTATGTAAAGCAAATCACATCTGTATTCTGCTAAAATAATACATATGTTATATGGGGTGGGAATTGAGTTGATTTAGAAGTGAGTATTAACAAATTGCTTCCCATATTATACTCACAGTTGCTGTACCTTGTTTGTATAGTGTCTTCAATAATATGTCATGTTTTGTGTTCAGAAAAAAGTATGAGTATTGTGATTTGGTGCGATAGCAAGATCCTGGATTCTATTGGTACTTGGGTTTGGATTATTTGCAAAAAAACCTCAACAGCAATTTCTGATTTGCCATTATTTTAAGAGCAATAACATTCACTGTGGTGGGTTGCCCACAGTTCTATAGAACCAGTAGTAAAACCAGCGGGAGGCTCCGCCCACCAACCCCGACATCATCAAAATGCTTTGTGATTGCGCATGTGCGGCCCCGTTGTGAACTGGTAGTAAAGGTAAGTAGAACCCACCCCTGATTCACACCCTACCTTACCAGGAGTGGGTTCTACTTACCTTTACTACCGGTTTGCAACGGGGCAGCGCACTCACTTCACTCGCGCACACACTCTTCTGCGCAAGCGCAGAAGCATTTTGATGACATCAGGGTGGGTGGGCGGGCAGAGCCTCCTGCTGGTTTTACTACCGGTTCTATAGAATCGATGTGAACGGGGCAACCCACCACTGTACCTTACGTTCCCTAATACAGCAAATTAAATAGAGATTTGTACAGATAGTTGGTTATACTTTCAATAGGTAGCCTATTGTTCCAGGAAGTACCATTAAGTTTCAACCCAGGTGTTTTTATTGAATAGAACCCCTGGATTCTAATTTTTAAAACATTAGATTTTGTAATTCTAAAATCTTCCCATGCATTTCATAAATACTATTTTAATCTACTTTGGGATTACTTTAATGAAAAACAAGGTGCTATAAATAAACAATCCCCTGAAATTATATTAAGGTTTAGAAAAAAGTATGAATATTATGATTTAGTGTGCAGATGAAGTGTGCACTTAACAAGTAGTAAAATAAATAAGCAAATCAGAGAATTTTCTAAAAGATAGATTTTAATTTTTTTCCCTACATCCTGCCCTTTAATGCAATTCTCTTATATTTTAATATAAGAAGAATTGATTAAAGCAACCTCAAAGACAACACAATTGTTCACTATACGCTCTAATCCTCCATAATTATTTTAAAAACTGCGACATTACTACTAGAGAACATGTACATGACTTTTAACTGAATTAGAAGATAATAGAGTAGCGCAAAGCTTTTTGTTTTTGTTACTTATTTTTTTCTTTTTGTTACTTAATATTAAACATAATAAAAAAAATAAGCTGGAAGCATTTCTCTCAGTTTGTCCACCATTTTTGAGTCCCACACAGGATTACTGAAAAATAAACTCAGTATGATCAAAGTAGAAGATAATATGCTGTGACCTTTGATAATATTGCTACATCTAAGGCAGAAACAACATTCTGCTTATGTTCTGAGCATATTTTGTCAATTTAAGTTTTTTCACCAATGTTTCTGCAAAAAATAGTTCTGCCTTTCTAAATGTTAAGATAATAAAAACTTATGGGGGAAGCTGTTCCTGAGTGAGGGAACTCTCTTTGAGGAGGATATTTTTTTCAGTGTATGGGAACCATAGGCTTTCCCTCCATATTAGAAAGGCAAATTCCACCTGGAATAGATGGTTCACAGGTAACAGGGACCTGAGCTGACAAGGAAAGTACTGACAAGTACTATTCAAAAAGCAATTGTAATTAATAATGTATACATTTCACAACAGTTAAGGTTTAAATAGCATTATGAATCCTTTTTTCCTGGGGAAAAATGTTGGTAAATAAGAGAAGAGAAGAGATGAGTGAAGATAGACTTTTTAATTTTTGTTTGTCTGGTAAGCTTTCACTATTATGCCCAATTGTTTTTACCTGCAAGAAGCAAACATATACTTATCATGAATTTATCTTCTTAGAATGATTTAGAAATAAAAAAAAATCTTTGCTTGCTTTTTTTCTGTTGAAATGCGTTGGGTATGATTTTTTTTAAAAAAAATTGAGTAATAAAGCTTAGGTTCCAGTGTAAGACTTACATGTGTATGAGGAAAAAAAGAACTCAATGATAAATAATTATTCTGATCTGTTTCATAGCTTTAGTATGGCTCTGTTCATAAACAGGCAAATCTTTTTAAATGACAGCACAGAGAACTTTGCAATAAATACATTACAATGGAGGGAAACTAATCAAGGAAGAAGCAACCCAGAATTAAGGAGAAGCTTCCTAACAGTGAGAACAATTAACCAGTGGAACACCTTGTCTTCAGAAGTTGTGGGTGTTTCATCACTGGAGATTTTTAAGAAGAGACTGGACAGCCACTTGTCTAAATGGTATACAGCCATGATGGTGAACCTATGGCATGCATGCTCAAGTGGCACACAGAGACATCTCTGCGGGCACCTGGAGCCATCGCTCATTGTTCTTCTGGGTTCCGGCACACCAGCTAGCTGATCATTACACACGCAGGAGCACCAGAAACTGAAAGAGCAGTCACGCAGTATGCATGTGCACGCCAGGAAGATCATCTTCCGCTTTCCGGCATGTGACCTGGCCATCTGGTTTTCTGGTGCACACACGTACATGAAGAACAGCTTGTATGCCCAAAGAGGCAGAGACGGGATCCCAGCGGTCACTTACTAGGGGAGAGAGCTGTCGGCCAGGATGGGCGGGCCAGGGCTTCCCTCCCTGCCCGACCAGGCTTCTTGCGCAGCCCCAGCTCTCCAGCCTATGGCGATGCGCGTCCATGGTCCAGAGCGCCTGCCAGGTCCGGAGCGCCTGCCAGGTTGGGCACCCTGAAGAGCAGCAGCAGCAGCGCTGCTTGTTCTCGGTGGCTGGGAGGGGGGTTTGTCCTCCAGAATCCTGGGCGCAAGCGGCAGGGTGAGAACTGCTGCAGAGCCCAAAGAAAGTAGCAGGGGCTGCGCTTCTAGTTCTTGGTGGTGGGCGAGTGGGAGCGGTGGTTCTCCTTCAGAATCCTGGCCACAGCGGCAGGGTGAAAACCGCTGAGCAGCCTCCTCAGCCCCAGGAAAGTACCAGGGACAGCACTGCTTGTTCTCGGTGGCAGGTAATGTGGAGGGCAGTTCTCAGCTTGCTGCTTGTGGCCGGGATTCTAGAGGAGAACTGCCACCCCCACCTCCCCTGCCACCGAGAACAAGCAGTGCTGCTGTAGGCGCGGAGTCCGCCCCGAAGTAACATCTGTCCGGTGCCAGGGTAAGATATGCGCTGGCCGGGAAGCAGGCGCACTTCCTTGACAGAAGGGGGGGGGGCTGCACTGGCTTGTTCTTGGTGGCGGACTGGGGGGCATTTCATTGACACTCTTCCATGTTCCAGCAGCGCCCCCCCCAGCCTGTTTTTTGTTCAGGGAGGCTTGCCTGGCCCAAAACGGGTGGTGGGGTATGTGGGGCGCGTGTGTGGGGGAGATCAAGCATGTATGCATGGGTGGAGGGGAGGGAGTGTGCAGGGCTCACATGTGTATGGGCGGGGCGCAGGGGATTGTATTATGGGTGTGGGCATGCATGCGCCCGACCCCCTTTGTTCCCACCCCCCCACTTTTGGTATGCAACAGGAAAAAGGTTCGCCATCACTGGTATAGGGTCTCTTGCTTGAGCAAGAGGTTGAACTAGAAGACCTCCAAGGTCCCTTAAAGATCTATTCTGAATTGAAAATTGAATTGAAATGAATAAATTTTGAAATATTGCTGATGTAGTGCTTAAGGTGATATATAGCAGTGAGTCCAGGTTCACCCTTTATTACAAAAGCTTACTGGGTGACTTTGGGATAGTCACTCTCTTAGCCAATATACCTCATGTTGAAAATAGAAGGTATCATTATATATCCCATCTTGGAATTCTTGTAAAAAAGTGAAATCTAAATCTAATAAATAGATAAAAGACTATTCCTTGAAAATGGAGAACTAATATCTAATAATCATTTTAATAATTAATTATTATTATTAAGTCTGCACATTGCTTTAAACTGTGGTTTGTTCAACCATTTTTTCTCAAAGAAATCAACAATTTGATATATTCATGCAAAATATTAAGTCAGTATCAGGCAGGGTGGATAAAAATCAATGATTTTTTTTTAAAAAATAAAAAAAAATCAGATTTTTTTGATTTAAATCGGTTTTTTTTAATTTTTATTGAATTTATTTTAATAAAAAACTTTTGGGGTAAAAATCTATCGTAAGATTGTTTTCTGTTTAAGATACATAAATAATTTAGTTTATTCAGCATGAAATGGAGCTTAGTTATGTAGCACAAGGCTATATATTCTGCAACACGGACTATCGGTGAGTCAATAGCGGGTCAAAGGAGTAGCAGAGATGACAGTTGCTCTTTAACAATTATGATTTAAATCGAGTTGATTTAAATCAAGTCTTTTTACTAGTGATTTAAATCATGATTTAAATCATGATTTAAATCGACTCGATTTAAATCAAATCCACCCTGGTATCAGGTATCCTGTACTGTGGTTTTGCACTTCTGTATGTGTGAATCCATTTAGCACATCGTTTCAAATGAAGAATTCATATTTTTATAAAATTGTGTTGTGTATCATATTCTTTTTAAACTGTAACATGTGAACTATACCATGTTTAATTTTGATTTCAGTCTGAGAAAATCTGTGAATAAATTTTTCTAAGCTATAAAGCCCTTTGAATTTCAAGATCTTAGAATCTTAATTTTTGAATCATTTTATTTCTGTTATAGATTCAAAAATTATGTGATAGAGTGGCATCTTCCACCTTACTTGAGGATCGCAGAGATGCTGTACGTGCCATTAAATCTCTTTCAAAGGTATATATAAATATATTTCTAACAAAATTTCATTTGCATGTGGCATCTAAAGTATGTTTGGTAGAACATGATAACGTTTTTTTTAAATACTTGCTCTGTTTTTGACAGAAATATCGTTTGGAAGTGGGGATTCAAGCTATGTCTCATCTTATAAATGTTCTCCAAACAGACCGGTAAGATTTGCCAGATGATTTAAAAATATATAAATAGGATCTTCCAATAATAAAATCTTGAATTATGAAATTGAATTATGATTAAAATGTAAGAAATATACTCATGAGAATCAAATTGATCTTTATCTGTCCAGTGTTTTCCGCAATAATGGAGTATAATTCTACTTTAGTATATTTAAGAAGCTTCAGAACCTATCAATGTAACTAACGAATTGTTTACATGAGAAAATTGATCTGGAATGCATATGACAGGTGTTTCTTGCTCATTCATCATTTGTTCAGCAACAATTTGAATAATGAATAATGAAACTTATAACTGGCCTTGAAGTTACAGCCTTTGTAGCAGCACCATGGTCACTTGATTGAAATTCAGGCATTTGGCCAACCAGCATGTATTTATGATAGTCACAGCATCCCATAGTAACATAATCCTCATTTGTAACCTGCACAGCAGCCTTCCAACAAGAAAAGTCAGTGAGAAAGCAGGCAGGCAGGAAGTCACAAGTCATGGTCACATTATATTGTGCTTAATGTACAGTTGATTCACTTACAACACAGCCAGAACTATCACACTGCCTTCATAAGTCAGGCACAGTAATGTGATTTTTCTTTTTAGACTACAGTGTGTAGTGCAGGGTTGTCAGTGCCTATTGCAGTCAGTATGCAAAGGCTACCTGTAGTAGAATTCCTAAACATACTCCTTATCGAGTATTAAATATACTCCAAATCAAGGCTTTGCAATAAGCTTTGAAACGACATAAGAGATTATATAATGATATTATTTGCAATGTTAGTGTTATATGCAGTTTATTCAATGAGAGTTTGTCCTTTTATTCATAGTTCAGATTCTGAAATAATCGGCTATGCTTTGGATACCCTCTGCAATATCATGTCCAATGATTTGGAAGAGGAAGAACAAGGTTAAGTAGTTGATTTTTAATATGTCCTTAACAAATAGATTTTACTTAATTTTATTTAATTTAGTGAAATATTTTTAAAAAAATTTAAGTGATCTGCTTTAGATATGCAAGTTTCCATTAGGTTTTGGCTCAGTTGCTGTCACCTCTATAATGGCCAGAGGAAATGTAATGCCTATAAATCCAGTTTTAAGTTGAAAAAAGGCTTTTTCTGTATATGAACTTGAGGTATTATGACTATTGCAGGAAAAAAAGTTATAATCCAGGATTTGATTTCCTCCCACCCCCCATTTTTGCAAAATGGCTATAAGGGATATATTGAGTCCTTCCAACCTTCTCTAGTGCAGCTATAAGGAAGTGAGAAAAGTGTGGTGCCCCAGGCTTAGGAAGGCACATTCATGTAATTATAGATCATACTTTAAGGCTGCATCCAAACTAATCCAGTATCTCTTTCCAATTGCAGAAATAATTTTGCTTTAGTCTTTCCTAATTTTTGTTTTGGATTTGCATGTTTTGTTTTTAATGTAGTGTGAGTAAAATGAGCAGCATCTGAAAGCATTGTTTTAAATTTAAGTATATGCTAAAGCCAGTGGTTACAGAAATCAATTTGAATGAGTATAACTCAAAACAAGTAAAGTAATTATGTTGGAATTTCTAAAATTAAAGATTCTCATTTCATTCTAGTTTCAAATTTATTTTGTTTTACTGATAACCATATTTCATTGTGTGTTTCTTTTTATCTTACTTAAAGTTGCCAACTTTAAATATCCTTGTGTTTTTTGCTGTTTCATGTTAAAGAAAGTAATTTAAAAAGATTTACAGTACTATGTTGATGCAAAGGATTGGAACTGTTCTTTTATTAAATAGGCCCAATAAGAAACAAAATACTATAAATTGCTCAAATGTGCCGAATGTCAAATATTGGGAGAATACCAGTGTAGCGGATCCTGCATCTGGGAGTCAACATCAACCCGAAGGAAATCATAATCTCAAGACACCTGGCTACTGCCAAAATCTATTAATTGATAGGCATGCTTTTGGTAGCACAGAAGACAGGCTCTTGGCACCAGAACCAGTAGTCCTGGAACTATTAAGATTCCTATAAATGGGACCAAAGTGTAAGCGCTGTGGCAGATTATGAGAAAGGAAAGGAAGAAGGAAAGGAAGAAAGGAAGAAGAGTTCAATAAGTTTGAGTTGAAGCAATACAATCCAGAAATCCTCCCTTAATTGGTTTATTATAAGTCTGTCTGAGAACTAACTTTCAAGTTTTATTATTACATTCTTCTCCTGCCTATCTTGGGTTGCCATTTACATGGGGCTTGAGAAAAGTTGACAACTAATGTATTGTATCAGTTGATTGTCACTTTGGGCTATGTCCTGATTGGGTGATGGGCAACCTTTCCTAAGCATGTCAGCATCTTCACTTTCCCAATCATTCAACACGTTCCCTCATGAAACTTACTCTATAATTGGTTTTTAGCAGAGGTGAAATCCATTTTTTTTACTACCAGTTCTATGGGCGTGGCTTGGTGGGTGTGGTGTGGCTTGGTGGTCATGGCTTGGTGGCTGTGGCAGGGGAAGGATACTGCAAAATCTCCATTCCCTTCCCACTCTGGGGCCAGCCAGAGGTGGCATTTGCCGGTTCTCTGAACTACTCAAAATTTTCGCTACCGGTTCTCCAAACTACTCAACATTTCCGCTGCTGATTCTCCAGAACCTGTCAGAACCTGCTAGATTTCACCCCTGGTTTTTAGATTATTTTGGCAGATGCCGAAAAGCATACTCACCTATTTTTTTGGTAGCCATATTAACTATGAAGGAGTGGTGGGTTTCAACATTTTTTATTACCGGTTCTGTGGGTGTGGCTTGGTGGGAATGGCTTGGGAGTGGCAGGGGAAGGATACTATAAAATCTCCATTCCCTCCCCAATCCAGGGGAAGGTTACTGCAAAATCCCCATTTCCTCCTGATCAGCTGGGACTTGGGAGGCAGAGAATAGATGGGGGCAGGGCCAGTCAGAATTTTTACTACTGGTTCTCCGAACTACTCAAAATTTCCGCTACCGGTTCTCCAGAACTGGTCAGAACCTGCTGAAACCCACCTTTGTTATAGAACGAGGGGCTCTCTCTGTGAAAAAAGTATCAAGATAAGATGGTGCTAAGACCAGATCTCTGCTTTATGCCCAATTACAGTTCCAAATTCCACTGAGCCCAAGGAATTGTATTCCCCCCTTCCCATCCTAGATAACAAACCTGCCCAATCTGGATGCGCCTGGAGTATTTAAAATATACTACAGATATATACCAAATAAGCATTCAGTCTATCACTTACACACTTGAGGTATTTACCATCAGCAAGTGTGTCAGAGAATATATTGCTATGGCATGTTCAGCTAGCACAACTCTTCTCCTTAGCATATCTAGTCAAGAGTGCCAGCAACATCAAAGAATGAGAATTCTAATTTTTTAAAGATACTGATCTTGTCTGAACCAGCTCTATACATTAAATATTGTAAGATAGAAAAGTGAGGCTCCACAGATCAATACTGGGGAGGCTTTAACATTGAATTAACCCTCCCTGAGCATACTAGGGCCATGATGGCGAACCTATGGCACGCATGCCGGAGGTAGCACACAGAGTCCTCTCTGCTGGGATGCACCCCGTCGCCCCAGGTCAGATCTCCGTGGCGTATCTTTCGTGAGCTTCTGTTTCCCTGCAAACGACAAAACAGAAGCTCACAAAAGAGAAAGATCTTGCTGCGCTGCTGGGTTGGGATATCCGGCCACCTGCTGGCCAGCTGGTCTTTGGGTCTCTGCTGCGCATGTCCACACATGCGCACGTTCACACACATTTTTCAGTTTGGGCATCCATGCACATGCAGTTTGGGCACTCGGTGTCTAAAAGGTTTGCCATTACTGTACTACGGTATCTTGTTCTTTCAGTTCCATCTTCAGTGACCAAAAGTTATAGTTGGATTTAAAGACTTAGTGCCTTTCACAGTCAGTGACACTCCGATGCACTGAAAGACAATTATTCTAGTGACCATACATACTATAAAGAAGTTACACTATGTCCAGTGGTCAGCTGAAGTTAAAATGTGTATCTGAAGGGAGGGGCTTCATCCACAAGAAAAGAAACCCTAAGCCTTCTCTTCTAACTAGAAGGGTATAAGTAAATATCTTTTTTAGTACCAATTTGTATTCTTCTTTTCAACATTAGTTATATAAAATCAATTGTGCTTCTTTGCAATTTTAAATAGAAGTTGCTTTATTTTTTAAAACTTTCTCTTTCTCCCTCTGCTCTTACAGATGATTCTGAAGGTAAAAGAAATGGAGCATGATGCATTTAGATGTAGTTCTAAGTATTAATTATTCTCAACACTTACCCATTTTAAAAAGGGATGCTATAGTTTAGAAAATAGTTTTCTAAACAGTTTTCTGTGTGCTATTTTTACATGCACACAAGTGTCTGATCTGATGCAAACTTGACATGGTCCTCTTTGTATTAAGGAGAGTCATGCAATAATTTCAGGTATTATTTGAAAAAAATATGGATGATATTAGATATTGAAGTAAAATACTTGGGATTTTTTTTTGCTTAAAGAGTTTTCAATTAATATGCTTTTTTAAAATAATTGCTAAAGGCAATTATTATTCCTTGAACAATTTATAGGAGCAATTTGATTTTTTTGCAGTCCTTTTAAAACAGAGTTGGATCCATTAGCATGCTTTAATTTATGCACTTTCATAAAGATTGTTTTCTAGTTAACATTGTATATTATGCCTGTCCTGATTTATTAAGCAGCCAGTCTTCAGAAGCTTTTGTTCTAATACTCTATTAAGGATTTATAAACAGTTTTAACATGGTTAATAGTATATTTATTCATTATATATAAGTTGGGCTTAGGTTATCATATTTTATTAACTTATATTATGAGGTATTATTAAAAAGAGTAATCAAAGCAATTTTTTAAAGAATGGTTATTGTTTTAATAACAATTTTGATTATCAAATGTTGGAAAAATTGTAATGATACTAAGGAATTTTAAATGCTTTAAGGGGAACAAATCTTTAAAAGGAAATTTTCATGTGTCCACTTGCAGTTGAAGTTGCTAATGATGCACTAATTATTTTGAAGCACCATCATTCATCTCATAATGTCTGCAGGAGTGGAGCAAGTTGCAGAAAATGGCCTCCAAATACCAATGATGGATTGAAATTTATAGCTGGTTGTTAGTCTCCTTTGCAGGAATAAGATTAGTAAGAGCTGTAACAGTGTTTAGTTTGAATTCCATCATCCCTCTTCAACAGAATTATGCAATATCTTTTTTCAAAAAATTCAGTGAGATATCTGTGAATGTAATATAAGTCAGCACTTCCCAATATTTTTCCTTCATTATTCAAAACTACTTATTAGAAATTACTTATTTGAATATTTCTGCTGTGATTGGGTAATAGTTTTGTGTCCTCTTACCTAAAGAAAAGTACTTTTACCTAATTTTGAATACCTTACCCAGGTTTGGAAAGCATTGTAACTAAGTAAGTTTAGAAAAATTACTAGCCTGCAGAACATTTACTACAGTAATCTATTGAGGCATATGAGAGAAGGAAGTACAAGCACCAGTAGCCAACTCCTGTGTGTATGTTTGGAGCAGCACATGTTTTTATTAGGAATTGTAATCAGTGTACAGCCAATATAAAACAAGATTTTTTTTTCATTTTTTCTATCATTTTTATACTTCACTGTAATTCTTGCTGTTATTTCCTGCATAATGTTCTCTTTTTTATTTTTAACTTCCTGAAACTCAGATCAACTCAAGTATTTGGGATTGGAAGTACAGGTAGTCCTTAATTTACAACAGTTCATTTAGTGACTGTTCAAACGGCACTAAAAAAAGTGATTTATGAACATTTTTCACACTTATCACTGTTATAGCATCCCCATGGTCACATGATTTACATTCAGATGCTTGACAACTGGTTCATATTTGCAATGTCCCGGGG